TTTTTTTTGAGACAGAGTCTTGCTCTGTTGCCCAGGCCAGAGTGCAGTGGTGTAATCTCGGCTCACTGCAACCTCCGCCTCCGGCATTCAAGCAATTCTCCTGCCCACTCTCAGGAGAAGCTGAGATTACAGGTGCCTGCCACCAAGCCCAGCTAATTTTTGTATTTTTAGTAGAGACAGGGTTTCGCCATGTTGGCCAGGCTGGTCTCAAACTCCTGACCTCAAGTGGTCTGCCCACCTTGGCCTCCCAGATTGGTGCAATTACATGCGTGAGCTGCTGTGCCCAGCTCCTACATTTGTTCTTAAACCCGTATTACATCATCCTGTTCTTCTTAATGTATTATTTGGAACAGTTCTCAACCTATTTACTTTTTGAGGTAAGGACACTTACAGATGGACTGTAAATGCTTCAAGGGCAAGGATTATGGTTTCCAGGAAATGCGCAACTTTTATTGAAGCACCACAGTGTACTTAGATATAGAAGATCCTAGCAGCTGTCCATTACTTAAACTGTGAGCTGGTTAGCCTTGAATTTCAAAAGCCATCAGTCTAATCAGCCTTATAGATCTGTGATATGAGAAAGAACAACTCATATTCCTGGAGCATGTAAGAAATCCCAACATCAGAATTTTAAAGCTTTAGAGAAACTAAAGGAGACATTTCACAGATGAGAAAACTAAAGCACCACCAGGTACTTGCCTGAGTGCATCTGCTCATTTGCAAAGCCCTTCTGGGTCCTTTGACATGCAACTGACCACTTACTCCTCTGTGCCCTCCATATGCCCATTTAAACTTGTAACAGTCCCTGAGACATTTCATTATATTTTGCTTGGCTGCATAAACAGGGGTTTTGTCTTCTTTGTCTTTGTAGCCCAAATTCCCAGGACAGTTCCTGGAACTGTCAGGCAATTAATGAGGGAATGAATGGATCAGCTGGTGGCAGAGCATGGCTGGAGTAAGTACAAATAAAGCAAAATGCAGTAACAATAATAGAGTCACGTTTCTCAAATGCATCACGTGTGTTAGGTACCATGGTACATGGCTTATATTTATTTTTATTTAATGGTCACAATAGCTCTGTGAAGTAGATATAGCTATTTTTTTTTCCTTGAGATGGAGTTTTGCTCTTGTTGCCCAGGCTGGAGTGCAGTGGTGTGATTTTGGCTCACCGCAACCTCCACCTCCCGGGTTCAAGTGATTCTCCTGCCTCAGCTTCCTGAGTACGTAGCTGGGGTTACAGGTATGCGCCACCATGCCCAGCTAATTTTGTATTTTTAGTAGAGATGGGGTTTCTCCATGTTGGTCAGGCTGGTCTTGAACTCTGAACCTCAGGTGATCTGCCCGTCTTGGCCTCCCAAAGTGCTGGGATTACAGGCATGAACCACCGCGCCGGGCCAATATAGCTATTCTTATTTTATAGGTGAGGAAACTGAGGCATTGAGAAGTGAAGTAATTTCTTACAGTTACACAGCTATAAAGAGACAGGACTGTCACCTGAACCCAGGCATTCAATTATGGTGACTGTCTGGGAACTACTGCTTGATTCATAGAATGTAGCATTGGCCTTGCTGAGAAAATCAAATGCTGTTCCTGTCCTTTCTATTCTTCTCATAATTGGTTTTCAAGGGTGATTACCTGTGTGGGGTAGCCGTGAGTATTTCTCCTCCATGTAGAGATACTGATACAAGAAGAGTTCAAGTGGATTGATAACATAGGGGAAGCCACTAAAAGATGTTTTGGCCACGTCATTGAATTTGTGTGATCCCAATCATTTGTGGTAAGGTCATAATACTTACATGTAAGGTATGCACAATATCTGTGATGTGGCTGCGAATGAATGATTCTGTGGTTTCATTATAAGGTAAAGCTCGGCTGAGAGAAGACAGAGATCTTAGGAATGTCAGCTTTTCAAGTTCACCCTGAATTTGTGGAAAAATGATAAAAATACAATTATACGTTATACTCTTATTTGATAACTGTAGAGAGCTTTTGAAAAGTTTCTTGGAATGCTTTAAATATCTGACATGTCTTTCAATCCAGGATGAGTCTTTTATTATAAGGAATGAGTGAATGACAGAGATTTCAGTGAAATTCCTTGTCCACTGGTACTGCCCTGCTTTGGGACCTCAGCTCTGCTCTCAGCTCCATGTTCCAGCCTGGCTCTCCCCACCTTTAGTCTTTGCTTTTCCACCTGCCTCTCTGGGGAGTGTTGTTCTGATGAAGCTTCCTAGGCCAGGCGCAGTGGCTTATGCCTGTAATCCCAGAACTTTGGGAGGCCAAGGTGGACAGATTACCTGGGATCAGGAGTTCCAGACCAGCATGGTCAACATGGTAAATCCCTGTCTCTACTAGAAACACAAAAAGTAGCCAGGCATGGTGGTGCACGCCTGTAGTCCCAGCTACTTGGAAGGCTGATGAATGAGAATTGCTTGAACCCGGAAGGCGGAGGTTGCAGTGAGCCAAGACGGCACCACTGCACTCCAGCCAGGGTGACAGAGCAAGACTCCGTCTCAAAAAAAACCAAAACAACAACAAAAAAAGAAAGTCACACAACTGGAATCATACAGTCTGTAATCTTCTGTGATTGGCTTCACTCAACACAATGCCTCTGCGATTCATCTATGTTGTTGTATCAATAGTTCCCTCCTTTTATTGCTGAACGGTATTCTATTTTATGAGACCCTATCTCAAGAATTCTATTTCTTGAGACAGGGTCTCTAGCTCTTGAGACAGGGTCTCATAAATTCTGTTTCTTGAGACAGGGTCTCACTCTGTTTGTGGCCCGGTTTGTTTATCTGTGAATAGACTTGAATCTTATTACTCCAACTTCTTCCACGCATCTAGCCCAGTGCGTTATAAATGGTAACTGCTCATTCATTACTTGTTGATTGGGTGAATGGGATTTAAAAGCCATAGAGGACTGGGCACAGTACCTCATGCTTGTAATCCCAGCACTTTGGGAGGCTGAGGCAGGTGTATTGCTTGAGGTCAGGAGTTCAAGACCTGCTTGGCCAACATGATGAAACCCGTCTCTTCTAAAAATACAGAAATTAGCTGGGAAATGGTGGCACGTGCCTGTAAACCCAGCTACTTGGGAGCCTGAGGCATGAGAATTGCTTGAACCTGGGAGGCAGTGGTTGTAGTGAGCCAAAATGGTGCCACTGCACTCCAGCCTGGGTGACAGAGCGAGACTTCATCTCAAAAAAAAAAAAAAAAGCCTAAAAAAATATAAACCAAAATGTCACCAGTAGTTATCCGAGGAGATTGGGATTACAGCTTTTAGTTTTTATTATGGTTTTCTTTGTTTTTACATTAATTGCATAAATATACATGTAAATATAACATACACATATAAATATATTTTATAAATATAAATATAAAACATCAATGTACAGATGTTTTGTAACCTATAATATAAAATTATTTGCACAATAAAGAAATAATATGTTTAAAATTTTGTTAAATTTTAAACATTAGTTTAAATAAGTTAAATAACTCAGAAAAATTGCTTGTGCATACCTTTAGCTCACCACTGAAAGCCTCCAGGATGGACTGGATCAACTTCTCAACAATGGCCTCATTGAGCGGGTTCTGGTGGGTCAGGTGTCTGGGGCTATCTGACAGGGACTCCCAATGGAGTCCAGGGATGTCAGGGATGTCTGAGTCTAACATTGAAAGAAAGACACTGGATGATGCCTCCGTGCTGTGTAAAGTGATGAGGTTTAGTGGGGAGTACCACTGGCTCTTACCTGTACTACTTGCTCTATGACCTTAACCAAGTCCCATCCCTTCTCCTAGGCTCAGTTTTCTCAATTATAAATTCAGTATTCTCTAAGGGCCTCCTAAGCTACAAAAACCTTTGGGACTGAGCTGTAGCAGAATGGTTAGGAGCGTGGACTTTAAATCTCAGTTTGAGACCAGTTTGAATCTTGGTTCTATCACTTGCTACTTGTATGACCTTTATCAAGTTAGTTTGTGTCTTGAAACCTAGGTTTCCTCATCTGTAAAACAGGGTTACTATAAGGATTAAATGAGGTAATATATGGAAATGACTGATTCCAGTAATATTCCCCCCTTAACACATCTTTCATTTGAAGATTTTTACCATTCTTTTTTTTTTGAGATGGAGTTTCACTTTGTCGTTCAGGCTGGAGTACAGTGGCACGATCTTTGCTCACTGCAACCTCTGCCTCCCAGGCTCAAGTGATTCTTGTGCCTCAGACTCCTGAGTAGCTGGGACTACAGGCACATGCCACCATGCCCGGCTAATTTTTGTATTTTTAGTAGAGATGGGGTTTTGCCCTGTTGGCCAGGCGAGGTCTTGAACTCCTGACCTCAGGTGATCCACCCACCTCAGCATCCCAAAGTGCTGGGATTATGGGCATGAGCCGACACTCTATTTTTGTATTCTTTTTGATTTCTTGAATGCCTCTTCCGCAAACTCTATCCACTTCCTGCCACAATCCTATCATCCACTAATTGCAATAATTAAAACCGTGTTCTCATTCTCATCTTTGCACAGGCTGTTCCTTTTGCCTACATTTTTCTCCTTCTTCTCCCCCACCTTCCCTTACCTACCTTTGCCTTGCTAACTCCTACTCATCCTTCAAGTCTCAACTCTAGGATGCCTTTCCTGTATCCCCTTTTTGTCCATTTTGGCTAAGTATCCCCTAGTCACTAATAACCTGGTCTGTATCCACTCTGGCTCCCCTACCCCCATCACACTAATTACACTGAGCTCCAATTGCCTGTTCATCTGTAAAAAATATATATATTTATATTTTAAGATAGAGTCTTGCTCTGTTGCCCAGGCTGGAGTGCAGTGGCGTGATCTCTGCTCACCATAACCTCCGCCTCCTGGGTTCAAGTGATTCTCCTGCCTCAGCCTCCAGAGTAGCTGGGATTACAGGTGCTCGCCACCATGCCTGGCTAATTTTTTATATTTTTAGTAGAGATGGGGTTTCACCATATTGGCCAGGCTGGTCTCGAATGCCTGATCTCGTGATCTACTCGTGTTGGCCTCCCAAAGTGCTGGGATTACAGGAGTGAACCACTGTGCCTGGCCCATCTGTAAGTATATTGTGTCTGTTCTGTTCGCGGCTGTATCTCTAGCTGCTAGATTAAGCTTAGAGCACAGGAGGGCTTCAGTAAGTATTTGCTGAATGAGTATATGAATGAATGAAAGTAGTTCTTCAAACACGCCAAGATCTTTTCCTGTCTCATGCTCATGTGGTCCCATCTATCTGCAGTACTCCCTCTAATCACATGGGTTACTCTGCTGTCTTTCAGACCTCCTTTAGGTTTAAATAACACTCACTGTCTCATACAGGTGTTCTCTGACAACCAGAGTTTCAAGCAGGTTTCCATCTCCCTTATTTTTGGTCACAGCCTCTTTTTCCATGCTGCCTACTACAGGTTGTAGCTACTTCAGTGACTGTCTGTTTACTCTTATGGGTCTCTTTTCTGCACAATAATGTAAGTTCTATGAGGGGAGTGACCATGTCGGTCATGTTCACTGTTGTATTCCCAGCTCCTGGTACTCAATAAATGTTTTGTAGAATGAAAATTATTCTGATGCCCAATTCAGATCCCACCTTCTGCATGAAGTCCTCCCACTCTAAGGCATCCCACACCACCCTTTCCCTCCTCAGAACCCCTCGAGCACTCAGACTCTTCTCCAGAACTGTCTGTCTCAGGACCAAGCTTCGTTTCCTACACATTAGGAACCATGTATCTCATCTGATTTTGCCAACTGTATTTCAAGGTTTCAAAGTCAGGGACCAAATTCATCATCAAAGTCTAGTCAAGGGCTGGTCACCCAGCAAGTACTCAATCAATACCTCTTGGCCTGAGTTGAAAATAGATTCTCTTTTCCCCTCCCTTCCCCTTTCAGGTCCTTTCCCCTTTTTACCTGTAAGTTCAATGCTACTTGAAGCTTTTTTAACAGCCTCTAAGTTGCTCAGCTGCAAATCCACACTTCCTGAATCACTGTCAGAAGCACAAGGGATTGTTACTACTTCCTGACTACAGGTCCTAGGAACAAAGAGGGGATTCGAAAAATTAGTTTTCCAGGACTGCTTCTGGCCCATCATTCATTTGAAAGCCTAAACGTCACTTTCTGAGAGAAGCATTTATTCATCACCAATCCAGAGTAAGTAGCTCCCGTCATTCTGGCCCGACAGTTACCTTATATTTTTTCACAGTATTTAACCATCACCTACAATGACCTTGCTCATTTGTGTTGATTTGTTTGACTTCTCCTATCAGACTGTAAACTCCATTACCTTGTCTACATGGTCACAGTTGTAGCCCCAGCACCTAGCATGTTGTCAGTCTCATTAGGAGTGAATGGATAAGAAAGAAATACTATGCTGCTGTTAAAAACAACGCAGGGCGTGGTGGCTCACACCTGTAATCCCAGCACTTTGGCGGGCTGAGGCGGGTGCATCACCTGAAATCAGGAGTTTGAGACAAGTCTGGCTAACATGGTGAAACGCCTTCTCTACTAAAAATACGAAAAATAGCTGGGCATGGTGGCACTTGCCTGTAATCCCAGCTACGTGGGAGGTTGAGGCAGGAGAATTGCTGGAACCCCAGAGGTTGCAGTGAGCTGAGATGGTGCCACTGCACTCCAGCCTGGGCGACAGAGGGAGACTCCATCTCAAAAAAGAAAACAGAGCCAGGTGCGGTGGCTCAGGCCTGTAATCCCGGCACTTTGGGAGGCTGAGGCAGGCGGACCACCTGAGGTCAGGAGTTTGAGACCAGCCTGGCCAACATGGTGAAACCCCATCTACACTAAAAATACAAAAATTAGCTGAGTATATGGTGGCACATGCCTGTAATCCCAGCTATTTAGGAGACTGAGGCAGGAGAATCACTTGAACTGGGAGGTGGAGGTTGTAGTGAGCTGAGATCACACCACTGTGCTCCAGCCTGGGTGACCTGGTGAGACTCTATCTCAAAAAAAAAAAAACAACAACGAGATTGAGGTAGAACACCTCACTAACTCCCTCTATCCTCCTTATGCTTTCCTACTTTTTCTTTTTCCCATAGCACATAAGACCTTCCAATATATCTTTCACTTATTTATGATGTTCACTGTTTGTCATTTATTTCCTCCCGCTAAAATATAAGCTTCTTGAGGGCAAGAATAGGGATCTTTGGCTGCTTTGTTCATAAATGTACCAGGAGTCTAGAACAGAGACATACAGAAGTGCTCAACAATTATTGCTAGAATGACTGAGCAAGCCTCTATTTACTGAATGTTTAGGATAGATGAAAAAGCAAGCTGTCAAACAATGGGTATGACACCTTTTATTAAAACAAAACAATGTTTTCACAAAAGTAATAAGAATTTGTGTATATACACAGAAACACACACACACACACACACACACAAATGTTGGCATACATGAAAAAAAACTTATGGAGGATGGGCATGGTGGCTCACTCTGTAATCTCAGCATTTTGAGAGGCTGAAGCAGGACTGCTTGAGCTCAGGACTTCGAGACCAGCCTGGGCAACACAGTGAGACCTCGTCTCTACAAACAAGCAAAAAATTAGCCAGGCATGGTGGCTTATGCCTGTAGTCCTAGCTACTCAGGAGGCTGAGGCAGGAGATTTCTTGAGTGCAGGAGTTTAAGACTGCAGTGAGCTATGATGGCACCACTGCACTCCAGCCTGAGTGACAGAGAGAACCTGTCTCTAGAAGAAAAACAAAAACAAAAAAATATGGAATTAATTTTTTTTTTTTTGAGACGGAGTTTCGCTCTGTCACCAGGCTGGAATGCAGTGGCACGATCTCAGCTCACTGCAACCTCCGCCTTCCAGGTTCAAGCAATTCTCCTGCCTCAGATTCCCAAGTAGCTGGGACTACAGGTGTGTGCCAAGAGGCCCAGCTAATTTTTGTATTTTTTAGTAGAGACAGGGTTTCACCATGTTGGCCAGGATGGTCTCGACCTCTTGACCTTGTGATCCGCCCACCTTGGCCTCCCAAAGTGCAGGGATTACAGGCGTGAGCCACCGGGTCCAGCTGGAATTACTTTTTAAAAATTATGTATTTATTTAATTTTAATTTTTTTTTTTTGAGACAGAGTCTCGCTTTGTCTCCCAGGCTGCAGTGCAGTGGCGCAATCTCGGCTCACTGCAAACTCTGCCTCCTGGGTTCAAGTGATTCTCAGGTCTCAGCCTCCTGAGTAGCTATGATTACAGATGCCCCACCATATCTGGCTAATTTTTATATTTTTAATAGAGATGAGGTTTCGCCATGTTGGCCAGGCTGGTCTCAAACTCCTGACCTCAGGTCATCTGCCCACTTTGGCCTCCCAAAGTGTGGGGATTATAGGAGTGAGCTGCCGCACCTGGCCAATAAAACAATTTTGGAAGGAAACTCCAAACGAATAAAGTTTGAACTTTGTCCTGTATGCATATATTTCTTTAATACAAAATGAGTTAATTAAAAAAAAAAAGAAACCCAGTAGGAGCAGAATGGCTGGGTTGTGTGGTAGATCGTATAACTGACTTCTTAAGAGGGTGCCTGGCCAAGTGCTGTGTCTCATGCCTGTAATCCCAGCGCTTTTGGGAGGCTAAGGTGAAGGGATTGCCTGAGGTCAAGAGTTTGAGACAAAGCCTGGGTAACATAGCAAAACACGATCTCTACAAAAATTTTTTTAAAAAATTAGCTGGGCGTGGTAGCATGTGCCTATAGTCCCAGTTACTCAGGAGGCCAGTGCAGGAGGATCCTAGAGCCCCAGAGTTGAAGGCGGCAGTAAGCTATGATCCTATCACCGTACTCTAGTCTGAGTGACAGATAGAGACCTTGCCTCTTAAAAAATAGCAACCAGTGGCCTGTAATCCCAGCACTTTGGGAGATTAAAGTGAGTGGATCACTTGAGGTCAGGAGTTCAAGACCAGCCTGGCCAACATGGTGAAACCCCATCTCTACTAAAAATACAAAAAAAAAAATTATGTACCTGTAATCCCAGCTACTCAGGAGGCTGAGACAGGAGGATCTCTTGAATCCAGGAGGTGGAGGTTGCAGTGAGCAAAAATTGTGCCATTGCACCCCAGCCTGGGTGACAGAACAACTTTGCCTCAAAACAAACAAAAAACAACAGAGAAGCTGTCAATCTGTTTCCAAAATGGTTGTAGCATTTTACATTCCCATCAGCAGGATATGAGTGATCCTGTTGTTCCACATCCTTGCCAGGATTTGCTATTGTTGGGCTTTTTGTTTTTTCTCTTTTTCTTCTTTTTCATTTAAATTATTCAGGTGTGGCGGCTCCCATCTGTGGCCCACAGCTAGTCACTAGGACCACAGATGCAAGCCACCGCACCTGGCTAATTAAATTTTTTTTTTTTGTAGAGGCAGGTTCTTGCTGTGTTGCCTAGGCTGGTCTCGAACTCCTGGACTCAGGTGATCCTCCTACCTGAGCATCCCGAAAGCTCTGGGATTACAGACTGAGCCACCATTCCTGGCTGCGTATGCTGATTCTACGGTGTAAATACTCCCATCATAGCCAAAAGCAAGCTACCAATACCGCCTTGGGAAGAGATGTGCAATGGCGTACCATCATATATTTCCACCACACGGTTACAACAGATATAAACAACCACAAAAGCACAGCAAATGTAAAATGTAGTGGAATAATCAGGAAATAATGTTTTGTTTCTAATATACTTCATTTAATGCTAAGTTGATATCATTTTCTAAATGGTTGTATTTAACCAATTTGTAAAATTACTGAAAATTTAACAATTGACTCTCTAAAGACAGTATGAGACAGCTCCAGCACACCACTGCTTGGTTGTCTTATTCTTGAGTTGGGAGAATTCTTTATATATTCTAGATCAGCACTGCCCAACAGAACTTTCTGTGATTATGAAGATGTCCTATAATTTTAAGCTGTCCAGTCTGATATCCACTAGCTATCTGTGGCTACTGAGGACTTGAAATATGGTGGCTAGTACAAATAAGAGACTGAATTTTAAATTTTACTTAATTTTAATTCATTTAAATTCAAATTTAAATATCCACATAAGGCTAGTGGCTATTATAATAGACACAGAAAGAACTGACTCTCTCCCATGCTGGATAAAAATCTTTGGGACAATAATAACGTTAATAACAGTTATCATATTGTGTACACTTTATATGTTCATAATACTGTGGTTAAAAGCACAGATCCTGGAGTCAGACTGCCTAGGTTCAAATCTGTTTCCTTCTCTTTAAAATGAGATTAGCCTATAATCTCAGCACTTTGGGAGGTTAAGGCGGGAGGATCGTTTGAACCCAGGAGTTCCAGACCAGCCTGGGCAACAAAGTAGGACGCGGTATCTACCAAAAATAATTTTAAAAGATTAGCTGGGCATCGTGGTGCGTGCCAGTGGTCCCAGCTACTCAGGAGGCTCAGGTGGGAGGATCGCTTGAGCACAGGATGTCGAGGTTGCTGTGCTGTGATCGCACCACTGCACTCGAGCCTGGGCGACAGAGCAAAATCCTGTATCCATAAAAAAGGAAAGAAAATAAATAATGTTTGTAGAGCGCTCGGCACAGTGTTGGCTTATACTGTAAATATTCAATAGTTAGCGCTAGTTATTAGAACTGTGTTCCTGCATGAGCCACTTTCATGTTGAGTCTGTAAAACTGGCCTAATATGTTCTCTAGGAGTCACTGAATTGCTCTGCAAATCAGATAAAATATCACTCATAGGTCAGTTATTAACAACCCAAGTGATAATCTTTGGAAGGAACTGACATAATTTATTATTTTTCCCTTCCTCCCTCCCTTGGCTGACATTATTTAATTACAGGTATTTATTTATCTCTCTCTCTCTCTCTCTCTCTCTCTCTCTCTGTGTGTGTGTGTGTCTCGGTGTGATGGAGATTCACTCTTGTTGCCCTGGCTGAGTGCAATGGCGCGATCTCGACTCACTGAAACCTCCACCTCCCGGGTTCCAGCGATTCTCCTGCCTCAGCCTCCCAAGTAGCTGGGACTACAGGCGCTTCGCTACCACGTTCGGCTAATTTTTGTATTTTTGGTGGAGACTGGTTTTCACCATTTTGCCGAGGCTGATCTCGAACTCCTGACCTCAAGCCATTTGCCCGTCTCGGCCTCCCGAAGTGCTGGGATTACAGCCGTGAGCCACTGCGCCCGGCCAGAAAC